CCTATATTTTCAGGACTATTATGGTTTGAATGAAGGCAAAAATGTTGGGTCTAGTTTAAAGCATTCTGTAGCGTATAATCCGAATAAGATAGATCTTGGCCTTTCTCATTTCTGTATCCACAAACAGTTGTTTGCTTATGCGGAATGAATTTAGAAGTCAATTTACCAAGCTAGTCTCAATTGCAGCATGTTTAAAATTGGGAAGGGGCTGGGTATGTAGCTCAGTGGTAGAGCATACTAAATGCACAAGACCCTGGGTTCAATCACTGGCACTAAAAAATAAAGTGATAATAAACATAACTTGGGATGTTCCTGCTCACTTGAATGTCAATTTCAAATATTTCTCTTATTAATGTAATCAAATTTATGTATGTATAACCAAGATAGCATGTATAGGAAAGGCCTGACTGGTAAGAATTTTTAAAAGATGAACAATTACCTTATTTATTTTAAGTACATTTACAGGCTTACTGAGTTTGTGAGCAGCACAAAAACAATCATTCTGGCAGAGCATGGTGATGCACGCCTTAGCACTCGAGAAGCTGAGGCAGGAGGATTGCAATTTGAGGCTAGCCTGGGCTATATCACAAATTCAAGGCCAGCCTGTACTACAAAGCAAGACCCTGTCTCAAAAAAAATTCACTCCAGCAGGTGTGGAAGTGTACACCTGTAATCTTAGCACCTGGAAGCCTGAGGCAGGAGGATTCTTATGAGTTTGAGGCCAGCCTGAACTACACAGTGAGTTCAAAGTCAGCCAGATCTATAAAGCCAGACCCTGTCTAAAAAAAAATACCTTAGTTACTAGTTGTGGAACTGAAAATTTTCTACAAAACACATTTTGAAAGATACTCACAGATGGCTATAATAGTTCATAAGGTGCTGTACAGTATTTCCACAGAGGGAATATGCAGCATTTCCCATTAAATGAAACCAAATAAAAAGTTCAGCACCTTCATTTGCTCTGTATGATAAGGGCGGTGGGGGGGAGGGATCCTAGTTTTTACAAAGTTGAATTATGTAGCAATATTTGGTAACATACACCATGGTCACCTTATTTCATAAAATGTGTTAAACTCCAAGGCATACTTGAGCCACAGCAAACACTAAGAATTAAAGCTCTTAAATCAGTGAAACACACACACACACACACACACACACACATACACAGATCGAGAGAGCCAGAGAGTGACCTAATCTCATGTTTTAGCAGATAATACAGTATTCTATTCACAATTATATGGCAATGAATAGAAGAACACATTGATTCCTTTAAAATAATAATCTGTTAATCTTTGAACAACCCCAATGTCTGCATTTACATTTTATATATAAACCCTACCTCAGGGGCTGGGGATTTAGCTCAGCGGCAAAAGCGCCTGCCTGGCAAGCGCAAGGTCGTGAGTTCGGTTCCTGGTACCGGAGAAAAACAAAAACAAACAAACAAACAAATAAACCCTACCTCAAATAGCACAGTATATTTAAAGTGTCTACATGAATCAAAGTGTAATGCAAGCTCAACAGATACCCTACAGTCCCCTACAAACAGAGCTTATAAAGTATCTCATCCTTGCCAGGCATGGTGGTACACACCTGTAATCCCAGCACTCAGGAGGCTGAGGCAGGAGGATCATTGCGAGTTCGAGACCAGCCTGGGCTACAAAGAGAGCTCAAGGCCAGCCTGAACTGCATAGTGAGACCCTGTCTCAAAAAGACAAAAAAAAAAAAAAAGAGAGAGAGAGAAAGAAAAAGACAGTATCTCATCCAAGAACAAATAAGATACACTTAAATATAACCAGTAACATTCACTTGGTAATTCTGCCAACCTAAACTAAAGGTTCAAAGATAAAAAACTTGGTAAGACTTAGATTCTAAATTCAAAGCCAGAAACATATGCAAAGTGAAATCTGTTTGAGATTACAAAGAACAATTAACCTCCAGAAGTAGTGGTAGCCTAAACTTGCCAGGTGAAAAAGTGGGAGGAAGGGTACCACAAGAGTGCAAACAAAAGCATGAGTGGAGGGTACACAGATAATCAGATGCCCTGAGTGGCCATAGCAGAAGAAATAAGGAGGACGAATGCAAGTGCTTGAAACACTAATAATTAAGACAGAAAAGAAAGCTTAAAGAGGGCCATGTAGGCTATGACAAGGTGGTTGACCTTTATCCAGAAAGCCACAGAGAACCACAGATAATGAAAACTAACTGGCAGCTAACTGGTGGCAATGTGGAAGATAGATTAAAAAGAAGAGATTGGGGAATACAAGACACTGCTGTGATAATTAGGATATTACTATAATGATGTAAAGAGAATGTGATGGATCAGCAATAATACAACAACTAAACAGTAGCTGTAGGAGCAACTTAGCTTAATGTAGCCACATTTAAATGTACTATTAAGCTAAGTGTGGTTGCATATGCCTGTTTGTCAGTCCTCAGGAGGCTGAGGCAGGAGGATTGCAGCAAGTGTGAGGCCAGCCTGACCTAAATAGCAAGACCCCACCTCAAAAAAAAAAAAAAAGTACGATCAATTGATTTGCACAATCCTTAAGAATGAAGGTCATTATTGCCCCATTTTACAAAAGAGAAAAATGAAGTTTAGAAAGATTAAGTCATTTTTAAAAAGTCAGCATACATAAAAGTGTGACAGGGCCTAGACACAAACCTAAGACTGATTTATTCCAATGTCCATATTCTCAATCTTAGCCTCCTGCACCAACATGCAGGCATCAAGAGAAAGAGAAAAGAATGAAATCAAGAAGTCTTTTAGAAGAAACCATCAATAGGATTTAATCATCTATGACCTATATTGCACACAGGATCTTCACTAATTTTGCCTTCCTGAAATGCTTCTGAAAATTGATTACTTCCTTCATCTAGATTTCTACTAAAGTATACTGATACACTTAACAGATGTTTAAAATCATGTTTAACCACATGAAGAGTTTCAAATATCCTGCACAGGAGTTTTTAAATCTAAAAACTTCTTTACACGGACTGAGGATGTAGCTCAGCAGTAGAGCATGTGCTTAACATGCAAGAGGCCCTGGGTTCAATAGCCAGCTCTACTTTAAAAAAAAATCCTGCTCACATCTGTTATCCCAGCACTCAAGAGGGAAGACCATCAGTGTGAAGTCAGCCTGGGCAACATAGCAACTTCAGGGTCAGTCTGAACTACATAGCAAGTCCCTGCCTCAAAATTGAAAAAAAAAAAAAATTAAAGTGCTAGAATGTAACTAAGTGTGAAGATCCTAGGTTCAATCCCCAGTACTGGAGGAGGAAAAAGTCCTTGTACACATGAGAAAATTAAAAATAAAAAAAGGAAGAGAGAAAGAGAAAACAAATATAAAATCAAAATAGAGTACTTTTCAGTCATAAAAATGACAATCTTGTTATATCCAAGACGGATAAGGTAGATTTATATGCCTTAATCAGAAATCCCAAAAGAAGGTACACAGCAGCTAGGCATGGTGGTGTACACCTGTAGTCCCAGCACTCCAAGCTTGACGCAAGAGGCTTGCAAGTTTGAGTCCAGCCTGGGCAAATTAGCAACTCAGTGAGACCCTGTCTTAAATTAAAGTGGGGGCTTGGGGGACACACAACTGCACATATAGCTCAGTGTAAAAGCCCTGGTTTCAATCCCCAGTAACACACACATATATACATACACATATACACAGACACACACACAGAAAAAGAGGAAAAAAAGATATACAGAAAAAATGATTTATAAATAGTAGCTAAGTTAAATATGGGGGAAGGAAAAAAGAAATTTCTTAAACTAAAATCTTCAAACTATAAACAATTGAGCTATTCAAATATGTACTTTTATTATAAGAACATACAATTAATTCTTTTAATGAAACCAATGTAAATGTGAAGTTACTGTGCCATAAGACAAACAGGTAACTCATGGGGCTTACAGGCCCAATTTCAATCTCATAACTGCATTAGCAGAAGAGAGTAAGAACTGCAGCTGCTCCATTTCAGCAGGCAAAGACTCTTCCAGCCTTCACAGAAATACCTGTTGAACTATCAGTCTGTACCAAGGGATTGTTGAATGGCATTTCCCTCAATGAAATAAATCATGCTTTCCTCTATAAAGAAAAATATTCTTCGCTCTCTTTTTTCTTTTTTCTTTTTGGCAGTACTGGGGATTGAACCCAGGGACTTCAGGCTCAGCTACATCACCAATTCTTTTTCACTTTGAGACAGGATCTTGCTAAGTCACTAAATTACCCAGGCTGCACTCAAATTCACAATCTTCCTGCGTCAGCCTCCCAGAGTGCTAGGATTGGGCCTGGGGATTTAGCTTAGCGGCAAAGTGCCTGCCTGGCAAGCACCAGGTCCTGAGTTCAATTCCTGGTACGAGAAGAAAAACAAAACAAAACAAAACAAAAAAAACAGAGTGCTAGGATTACAGACATGCACTACCAAACCCAGCTGAAAGATAATTCATTTTTACCATATTAGTAAAGAGTTTTACCTATTATATTCAAATTTACCTTGATTACGAATATATACAACTTCAATAACAAAATATAATGAACACAGTTCTCACCAAATTAAACATCTAAAGTGATATCTGTCATATTTTAGAACATATAGTATTAGCATATAATCATCTGGGGTTAACTAGTTCACCCAAGAAATTGGCCATAAATCAGGTGTCAGTTTAAAAATCTGTAAAATTATTAAAATCAGTAAATAATTGTATAATTCAGTGAAAAAATGCAAGAACTTTTACTTCAATGATTATAGTCTAACAGACTTAAGACTTTTGTTTTATATAACAGTATGAGCAGAGTATAGGTCCCTCCACCGAAAGAAAAAAGTTTGTATTGTGTTAGTTCCAGTTATAATTTCCAGCTGAGTCAAAGTTCTAACAGCCGTAAAGCAGGAAATCCAAAAGGAAATTCCATCATCAGATCCTGGGGCTTTCAACTCAAAGGTTGTTTGAAACAGAGATACAGAAGTTCTCAAACTATTTACTACAGCCTTACCTCATATCTTCCAGCAAATCACATTCTGCTTGATGTTTGGCTTGAAGTTTTGTCATCTGCTCAACTTGAATATTTTTCAGTTCTTGTGTAACTTTCACCTAAAATACACCATATATTCATGAAGGCCTTATTACAACTTGAATCAAAAAATTTTAAGAAAAACACTTAACATTTGTCAGAATATATATTTCTTGTTCATCTCTCCCTGAAGACCATAAGCCCATATGTCATCTAATTTTATTCCTGAAGATACCTACTTAATTAAAAAAACAGGCTAAATGAAAATATATGAGTATAAAAATTACAGATTAAATAAACTGCCAATCATTTTATTTCATGCATAAGCTCAGCACACATCTAGGCCTTACAGTTTTAAAACAGCCTGTCTTCTGTTTCTTCCAAAAAACATTCAGACATTAACCACCAGGAGAAGAGCAAAATGCAGATGGGAGAAAAAAGCATTAACACTACTAATACCTAGTGACTAAAATCTACACAATCATGAAACAATATGCAGGAATCAACTACATAAATTACTCCATAATGGCTTCAAGGAAGCACAGTCTCAGGATGATACCTCCACTCACTGACAGCACATCAAATCACAATCTCTTCCTCACAAAGGAAAAAGCAAAAGTGACCTTCCAGCATACGCAAGGTTTTTAAACTAACCCAGCAAGCCAGGCCCCGTGGCGGCTCCACTTCAAACTGTGAGAATCGCAAATGCCAGCTGGCCAGAGCCTCGCCCCGCCAGGCCGGACCCCAGGATTCCAGGTTACCGTGGTGGAATCCTAGCCACCGGAACCGGGCTAACCAGAGGGATGAAGGTGTATTACGAAAAAGAAAAGGTCTCATTTAACTGGAGAAGCCCGGATTATGAAAAAGAAGCAGCAGCAGACATGGGTGAGTTAGGCATTCGGCAAATGTTTGCCCAGGAGGGAAGGTCAGAACGGCCTCCTCCATCTACTGTCCAAAGTAGACACTAGGTATCCAGCAACAGGATTATAAGGACAAGGACACAACCTCAGCCCCTGGGAAAGCGGTCGGAGGGCGCAGCGGGGAAGCTGCTGACAAGCCAGGAGTATACCGGTCACTCCCACCCTGGCCATCCAAGCCCAGATCGTGGAGCACACACCACGCAAAACCGGGTTCTCGCTTTCCTGGAGACAGCGCCACCTCCTCCTCGCCCCCTGCCCAGGGGCGGGGCAAGAATGGGGACAGAAAGGCAGGACCCCTTCAATCTTTAATTTGCTTTCCCCTGGGGTGGAAGGGCGGTGACTATTCCAACTTCTTTTCCGCAACCCCGTGGGAAAAGCAGGCCAACCCTTTGGGCTAGGCAAAGAACAAATTCCCTGCAAATTTGCAAATGGGCAGGGGTGGCAATAAGCGGCCGGAGGGCTCAAACCTGGTGCAGACTAAACAACCATACACGCACAAGGCTCTGCAAATCTGCAGGGGTTCCCCCCACACCCGCCTCTCCTCGGTGCAGCCCCGAGAACGCACTTTGCAGCGGGCAGCACTGCCATGAAGGCGCACACAGGCAAATGCACGCCTGAAACTCTTGTGAAATGCCTGGGGGTCTTCAAGGAGGTGGGAGAGACCAGCCCCGACCACCCCTCCATGGGAAAGACATTTCACACACGCGTCCCTCGCCTGGAGCCCGCAGCAACTCAGTGACAAGCCAGAGGCGAGAGCGGTCACGGCCCCCTGCGGGAAGGGGGAGGGGGCGCAGAGGTCGCCCCAGCAGCGTTCCTAGTATGCATCCCACCCCGCAAAACCCCAAAGCCCCCCGGCCGCGTCCTACCTTCCTCGGCGGTGGCTGCATGATGCTGAAGGGACATCAATCCTCCCCCGACGGCGGCGTTAGGAAGGACGAGAAAGAAGAGGGCTTGCGAGGAGGGGGCGGCCCAGCGAGCGAGGGCGCGCGTGTGTGAAAGGAGAACCCCAGCAGGAGGACTCGCCCCGGAGGCGGCAAGGCCGGCGGGCAGCAGGAGGATCCAGGTTCCAGCGAGTATGGGGAAAGAGAGGAGGAGCGCCGCGAAGGCCTGCGGCCCGGGGGGTGTGTGAGGGAAGGAGGCGGAGACCACGAGGGGGCGGGGGCCGGGAGCGGGGGCGCAAGGGTCTCCCAGCGCAGGGAGCAGCGGGTAAGGCGCAGCCGCGTCGTCCGCGCACCCCGCCCGCCGCCGGCTCCGCTGCCCCCTGCCCTCTCCACCCACTCGGGCAGCCCGGCCCTCGCGGTGCCCAACGCCCCCGCCCGGCCCGGGAGGAGGAAGGCGGGGCCGCGCTCCCCGCTAGTGCTCCACCAGTCAGGCCACGGGAATTTCCGGCCTCACCGCGAGCACAGCGCCCCGCTCCGGCGGCGGAGGGGACCGCTCAGTCCACCGCCGGGTTCGCGGGCCGGGCCAGCCTGCAAGGAAGGGACGAGGCCTCGTACTGCGGCGGGGCTCCGTACCGCGGCAGCGGACGGGGTGATCTAACGGATTGGTCCTCGGGTGGGAGGGTAGAAACGCTAGCGGAGCGCGAAAATTCCCCCTTCCTCTCGGAGAGTGGCACGTTCCAAACGCCTCCCGTCCTCCTCCCCTACACGGTGAGCTTGCTGGGGGCTTCCCGCGCGCTTTCCCGCCAGCCCGCGGGGGCGCGCACGTGGGCGGGAGAAGGCTCTGCGCCGACGCACGCGCACAGGCCGCCCCCGCCTCCTGCCGGCTTTGGCTGCTGCAGCGTTTGTGTTGGGGTGTGGGAGGTTTGGGGGGCGACGCTCTCTTGAGATTTTTTTTTTTACATTGGGGAGCGGGCAGCATGCCCGTGGCATCGGGATCCTTAAGTATTCTGCTTCTTCTCGGTCCATCAACGTCCCCCTTCCCTGCCAGCTGTAAGGGTTGAGCACGGTAGACCGCATACAACTGCCCGCAGGTGTCAGGCCTTTGCGAAAGGGGGTGGGGGAAAAAAGGAGGTGAGCGGCTGCCCTGCGAAAGAGAAAAGGGCTCTCTGCCATCGGACACTCAAGTTAAAGATCACAAACGCAGTGCTGGAAGGAAGCAGAGGGGTCTTAAAGCCAGGGCTTCCGTCTCACAAATGGGGAAACTAAAAGCCAAAGAGTAGACATTTTCTGACGATCACACAGCAAGACTAGAATCTCTGGGTCAGGACGAGTATGTGGATTAGAAAGAAACAGGTAGGGGCTGGGGATTTAGCTCTGCGGCACAGCGCCTGCCCGGCAAGCGCAAAGTCGTGAGTTGGAGTCCTGGTACCAAAAAAAAGCCGAAAAAAAAAAACAAAAAACGAAAGAAACGGTACTGGGCCTGAAAGTGTAGCTCAGTGATAGAGCTACTTGCCTAGCATGTGCATGGCCCTGGGTTGATCCTCATTACTGGGAAAAAAAGAAGAAAGAAAAAAGAGGATGAGAACCATCGGTAAAAAGTAGAGGAGGCAGCAGGAGCCCTGGAGGAAACCCTTGTCTGAGAGTTAGGGCTGCTGGATCCACTGCACCCAGCCTGCGCCCGACTCGCTGAGTGATACCTTCCTGCTCTGTCCAGCCTCTCTGCAGGGAGTGGTGTCAGCCTCCCATAAGGTCCTTGGAAGGGGGAAATGCCTCTTCCCCTCCCCGGGGAGTTTCCCAAATTCGATTAACCCCACAATTTTTTCAGAAGTTAGGAGTCCCAGACAGCTGTTCTCAGAAGTGTAGTTCAGGCAAAAGAGGAAGGTGGGTGAGGCCTGGGTAAACTAGGGTACACTGCCAGATGTCCACGTGGCCAGAAATTGGAACTTGAACCTAGCTTGTTTATGTTGAGTTAGCCTAGATTGTTGTGCAGGGAAGTGGTATAATCAGAGCTGTACTTCAGTCAGATTTGTCTAAACTAGGAGTTTCACCCTGATATTTCTGGTATCCTGGAGGCTATTCAAAATTCGGCCCTCCACCGAAGTCCTCAATTAGATCAGGAAAGGCCTAAGGGGAGGAAACCTGTAGGTGGAGACCCAGAACGCTAACCACTGAGAGGCCCCAGCTAGAGCCTAGGCCAGAGTTAGCAAGGCTGGGCTGCAGTTTTCAATGAGTTATTATGAAGCCTTGGACTAGTCACTTCCCGTCTTTCAGGCTTTGTTTCTTCACTTATAAAATGGAGCTATATTGGGGCATGATGGCACACTCCTGTAATCTCAGCACTCTGAGGCAGGAGGATTCCTGAGTGTTTCTGAACATTTGAGGCCAGGCAGGGCTACATAGTGAGTGAGCTGAGGGCCAGCCTGAACTCCTTATCGAGACCCTGACTCCAAAACAAAAAAGATATACCATTCTGAGAGGCTTGTGGTATCGATTAAGATTTCTCCTACTGCGGTGTTTGGCACACAGTCAGTGCTCAATAAATTGTCATTGCTCCATCATTCATTGAAGAAGTATTTACTGAGGTTCTGATTTGTGCCAAGCACTGGGGATATGTATAGGGATGAGCAAGATAGAATCAGACTAGGCTTCACCAAGCCCAAGTTCCAGATCAACCATCCTATGAATGACTCTGAACTAGTATGGATGGGTAACAGCACTTCCCCAAATGCAGTGTCTTGCACACAGAAGATGCTAACAAAGATTTGCTAGGGAATTAAGTACCGGGTATATAAAGCTTCTGGAACTTGGGAGACTTAGGCCACTGATCTGCTGGAGCTTCACTGGGACTCAACTAAAGTGAATGAGCCTACAAGTTAACAGGCTCTTCATACATAAAGTCAGATCCTGGGGTTTTGTTCATTTGGTTGATTGATTGATTTGAATGGGGGATTGTTTTGGGTTTGGTTCGGTTTGGTTTTTGAGACAGTGTCTCACTATTTAGTTCAAGCTGGCTGTAAACTCACTATCAAGGCCAGGCTGGCTTCAAACTCTCAGCAATCCTGCCTCAGCCTCCCAAGTGTTAGGATTATAGGCATGCACCCCCACATCCAGCCTGTTTTATTAATTTAGGAGGGCACCTCTGCTTGATTTACCATTATTCTGAAGTCAGGAGTAACAGTGGGTCCAGGGATATAGCTCAGCAGCACAAGTGTCTGCCTGGCAAGCACAAGGCCCTGAGTTTGATTCCCAGCACACACACAAAAAAAAACACAAGGAGTAACAGTGACTTCCTGAAATGATTTCCTTTGGAGGTTTTATTAAGAGCTAAGGACAATACCAGATGGGTATTGTCTGACTGCTTTCAAAAATGTGATTTTAGATCCACGTGTGGTGGTACATGCTTATAATCCTAGTACTTTGGGAGGCTGAGGCAAGAGGATTGCCAAATTCAAGCCCAGTCTGAATAATCTAGTGACTTAGCAAGCCTTGTCTCAAAATTTTCAAAAAAGACTGGGATATAGCTCAGTGTGAAGGCCCTGGGTCAATCTCCAGTACTGTAAAGAAAAAAAAAGAAAGTAAGTAAGTTAGACAGACATTTAGGGAAGACTGGGAACATAACTCAGTGGCACAGCACTTGCCTAGCATGTGCAAGGCCCTGGGTTCTCGCCCAGCCCTGAAAAAAGAAAAGAGGGGTAAAGCTTAAATTTTATTATTATCGGCTGGGCGCGGTGACACATGCCTGTAATCCCAGCACTTGGGAGGCTGAGGCAGGAGGATCACTGTGAGTTCAAGACTAGCCTGGGCTACAAAGTGAGCTCAAGACCAGCCTGAACTACATAGCAAGAACTCTGTCTCAAAAAGACCAAAAAATAAATAAATTTTATTATTATCAAGTACCTTTTCCAGACCCTAAATTTTCATACCATTTTCTGGGACAATCTTCACTATAACATTATGAGTATTATTTTTTACATTTTTGCAGATGAACTGGAAGCTCAGTGAAGATAACTGACTTGCCCTGAGGTGATGGGTTTGGGAACACACCCCAATTCTTCCACTAGGAATGGAAGAGTGGTCCTCTATCAAGAATATTTAAAGGAATTAGGGAAAAGAGTATGGTTCATCAAATAACAAAACCCATCTTCCTTTGTCTCCTTTAGATCAGTCAGAGTGAGACTTTTGACCCCTGACTGGGCAGGGTCAACTCCCCTTCTCAGCCAGAAACAGAAAAAGACTGACTCTCAGACCCCCCCCCCCGGGCGAAGTGGGGGTAATAATGTGGGATAGAAGAAATAAAGATAGGTAGAAATGAGACAAGGAAAATCATAATTTTAAAAATAAGGATTCAGGATAGTGACCCAGCTTAATTTATTTTTAATGTTCTCCCAAGATACAATAAGCTTGGGCAGTTTCTTTTTGCCTGCAAGTAGGTACAGCCATTCTCTTTTTATGTGCCAATGGCCCTCTTTCACCTGTGAATAAACCACCTCTTTTCTTCTGCGAAATAGGCTTTTTCCTATGAATGGGCCATTATCTTTCTATGGGTCAGCTTTCCTTTTTCCAAAAACCAAGAACCAAAACAGAACTTCCTGTAGACTGAAAAATTTCATAGGTTTCCACCCTCTCAAAAACAAACATAAATGTCCCCAGTTTGAGAAACCACTGTGTCGCTCTCTCCAGGACCTATACTGTATTTCTTCGAGTGTGTATGTTTAACATTCTGCCTAATAGAGCCAAGTATGGTGGCGCATGCCTGTAATCCCAGCACTCGGGAGGCTGAGGCAGGAGGATCCTTGCAAGTTCAAGACCCACCTGGGCTACAAAGTGAGCTCCAGGCCAGCCTGAACTGCATAGGGAGGCCCTGTCTCAAAAAGACCAAAAAAAAAAAAGTTATAACAAACACTGCAATAGGCATTCCATTGATGTTGTTTCTAACCCTTCCAATGAGCTCTCATAATACATAAAACCCCCATTTTACAGATTTCAAAGACTCAAAAGTGAAAATGCCCTTGCCAAGGCCACACAGCTAATAAGAGCCAGGCTCAGCACCTGCTCTTTCTGGCTCTGAAGCTGTGCCCCCACCTCAGCTGCAGTGCCCTTCTCCCAGGAAGGTTAAATCAGATCAAAAGCTGGCCAGTACAGGGATATAAGTGGG